TGCACGGCGTGGGGGTGCCGCTAGTACCGGTCGTTCTCGAGATACTCGTGGTGCTGCTCTCGGTTGTACTGATCGCAGACGTGTTGGGCGTAGTGGTGCCGTTGGTACCGGTCGCAATCGCAATACTCGCGGTGCTGCTCTCGATCGCACTGCTCTCAGACGCGCTGGCCGTATTGATGCCGCTGGTTCCGGTCATCCTCGTAATACTCGTGGTGCTGCTCTCGGTCGTACTGCTCGCCGACATGCTGGGCGAAGTGGTGCCGCTGGTACCGGTCGCACCCGTCCTTCTCGAAGAGCTGGTCTCGGTCGTACTGTTCGCTGAAATGCTGGGCGTAGTGGTGCCGCTGGTGCAGGTCGCACTCGTTATGCTCGTGGTGCTGCTCTCGGTCTTACTGCTCGCCGACGTGCTGGGCGTGGGGGAGCCGCTGGTACTGGTCGTACAAGGTAATGCCCTGGTGCTGCTCTCGGTCGTACCTTTCGCCGACGTGCTGGGCGTATTGGTGCCGCTGGTGCAGGTCGCCCTCGTCGCACTCGTGGTGCTGCTCTCTGTCGTCCTGCTCGCCGACGTGCTGGGCGTAGTGGTGCCGCTAGTACCGGTCGCACTCGTCATCCGCGTGGCCCTGACCAGTACATATGATCGGTGCCATACTACCCTGTAACCAGTACGTGTGATGCGTAAGACGTAGACTGGCTGCAACGTCCAGGGTAATAGTCTTACCCGTCAGCGTTTTAACAAGTATCTGTCTGCAGTTATGATCTGGCTGTGCGCACCCGACCCCCTGCATGCCGCCTGTCACTTCGATGTCGCCCTGGCCAAACTCGCAGCGTTCCTCAAGCCGCCAGGATGCCAGGAGCGTTCGCCACCGCACGTCCGACGCCAAGGACGTGACACCGGTAGCCACGTTCCCCCGGCACAGGCGCACGTATCCTGCTGTGTCCTGACACGAGAACTGCGACACACAGTTCAGCGCAATCAGCAGGTAGGAGCCGAGAACAACTGTGGCGACGATGTAGATGATGACGACCGTGCTCGCCATACTCGTGAGGTTGCTCTCGGTTGTAGTACTGCTCACCTACGTGCTGGGCGTAGTGGTGATGCTGGTATTGATCGTGTCCGCCACACTTGTGGTCCTGCTCTCGGTCGCGCTGCTGGCCAACGTGTTGGGAACTGTGGTGCTGCTGGCACCAGTCGTGCTAGTCCCACTCGTGGTGTCACTCTCGGTCACGCTGCTCGCCGACGTGCTAGCTGGGCTGCTGGCCCCGGTCGTGCTCGTCGCACTCGTGGCGCTGCTCTCGCTTGTACTGTTCGCCGACGTGCTTGGCATAATAACGCTGCTAGTGCCAATCGTGCTCGTCACACTCGTGATGCTGCTCTCTGTTGTACTGCTCGACGACGTGCTGGGCGCAGTTGTGGTGCTGGTATCGATCGCGCCCGTCACACTCGTGGTGCTGCTCTCAGTCGTGTTGATCGCCGACGTGTTGGGCGCAGTGGTGATGCTGGTATCGGTCGTGCTCGTCCCACTCGCGGTGCCACTCACGGACGTACTGCTCGCCGACGTGCTGCTGCTGGCACCGGTCGTGCTCGTCCCACTCGTAGTGCGGTTCTCGGATGTATTGCTCATCGACGTACTTGGGGTAATGGTGCTGCTGGTGCCGATCGTGCCCGTCACGCTCGTGATGCTGCTCTCGGTTGTGATGCTTGACGACGTGCTGAGCGCAGTGGTGATACTGGTAGCGGCCATGCCCGTCAAACTCGTGGTCTTGTTCCCCATCGTACTGCTCGGCGACGTGTTGGGAACCGTGGAGTTGCTGGTACCGGTCGTGTTCGTCCCATTCTTGGTGCCGCTCTCGGTCGTACTGCTCGCCGACGTGCTGGGCGTAGTGGTGCTGCTGGCACAGGTTGCGCTCGTCACACTGGTGGTGCTGCTCTCGGTTGTACTCCTCATCGACGTGCTCGGCGCAGTGATGCTGCTGGTGCCGATCGTGCTCGTCACGCTCGTGGTGCAGCTCTCGGTCGTACTGCTCGCCGACGTGCTGGGCGCAGTGATGATGCTGCTCGCCGCCGTGCTGTGTGCAATGGTGCTGCTGGTACTGGAGGAGCTCGTTGAACACATGGTGCTGTCACCACCCGTACTGCTCGCCAGCGTGCTTTGCGTAGTGGTGCTGCTGGTACCTGTCGTGTTCGGAACACTCGTGGTTGTGCTCTCACCCATGCTGTGAGGCGACGTGCTGGGCGCAGTTGTGCTGCAGGTGCCAGTCGCCCTCGTGACACACGTGGTGCTGCACTCCCTCCTGCATCTCGTCGAAGCGCTGGGCGTGGTGTTGTTGCTGGTACCGGTCGTGCTCGGAACAGTGGTGGTACTGTCCTCACTCGTACTGCTCACCGCCGTGCTGGGCGTAGTGGTGCTGCTGCTACAGAACATGCTCGTAACACACGCGGTACTGCTCTCGCTCTCGCTGGTCGCCCCCGTGCTGTGTGTAGTGGTGCTGTTGGTACTGGTCGGCCTTGTGACGCTCATGGTGCTGCTCTCACTCCTGCTGCTCGCCGACGTGCTGGGCGTAGTGGTGTTGCTCTCACTCGAACAGCTCACCGACGCGCTTGGCTTGGTTGTGCTGCTGGTCCTGGTCGTGCTTGTCACACTCCTGGTGATGCTCTCGGTCGTACTGCTCGCCGACGTGCTGGACGTGGTGGTGCTGCTGGTACCAGTCGTGCTCGTCACAGTCCTGGTGCTGTTCTCGGTTGTACTGCTGACCGAAATGCTGGGCGAAGTGGTGCTGTTGGTACTGGTCATGATCGGCACACTCGAGGTGATGCTCTCGGTCGTCCCGCTCGCCGACGTGCTGGGCGTAGTGGTGCTGCTAATACCGGTCGTGCTCGTCACGCCCATGGTGCTGCTCTCGGAAATAATGCTCACCGGCGTCCTGGACGCGGTGGTGCTACTGGTACCGGTCATGCTCGTCACGCACGCGGTGCTGCTCTCGGTCGTGCTGCTCGCCGACGAGCTGGACGTAGTGGTGCTGCTTGTGCTGGTCCTGCTCGTCACACTCGCGGTGCTGCACTCGGTCTTACTGCTCGCCCACGTGCTGGGCGCAGTGGTACCGGTACCGGTCGTGCTAGTCACACTTCAGGTGCTGCTTTCGGTCGTACTGCTCGCCGACGCGCTGGGCGCAGTGGTGCTGCTGATACCGGTCGTGCTCGTCACCGTCGTGGTGCTGCTCTCGGTCGTACTGCTCACCGCCGTGGTGGACGGAGTGATGCTGCTGGTACCTGTTGCGTTCACCACGCTCGTGGTGCTGCTCCCGTTTGTACTGCTCTCAACCGTGCCGGGCGTAATGGTGCTGCTGGTACCGGTAGTGCTTGTCACACTCGTGGTGCTGTTCTCGGTCATACTGCTCGCAGACGTGCCGGGCGTAGTGGTGCTGCTGGTACCGGTCGTGCTCGTCAAGCACACGGTGCCTCTCTCGGTCGTACTGTTCGCCGACGTGCTGGATGTAGTGGTGCTGCTGTTGCTGGTCGTGCTCGCCACACTCGTGGTGCTGCTTTCGGTTGTACTGCTGGCCGAAGTGCTGGGCGAAGTGGTGCTACTGGCACAGGTCATGCTCGTCGCACTCGTGGAGCTGCTCTCGGTCGCACTGCTCGCCGACCTGCTGGGCGCAGTGGTGCTGCTGGTACCGGTCGTACTCGTCGCACTCGTGGTGCTGAGCTCAGTCGGACCGCTCGCCACCGTGCCGGGTGTAGTGGTGCTGCTGGAGTCGGTCGTGATCGTCACCCTCGCGGTGCTGTTCTCGGTCGTACTGCTCGCCGACGTGCTGAGCGTACCCGTACTGCTGGTACTAGTCGTGCTCGTCACCCTCGTGGTGCAGTGGCAGCCGGAACTAGACTCCGCAGCATCCATCTGAATTTCAAGTTCTTGCAACACGCTGGCGAAGGAAATTCTGGAACGACTGCGACTGCGTGCCCGCATAGACTGAACTAGTGGCAGCGTCGGCTCGGCAGGTGGGTCGGCACCCTGGTCGCCAGGATCAGCAACGAAAGCGAATACAGGCGCTGAACAAAACACGGCTGCGACTCCAAACATGTGTTTCAGAAGACATCAGGCCATGAACAAGCCGCAGGCCACTGATCGGTAGAGTTTGAGCCGACATAGCCATTACAGACGGGAAACCCGCGGCGACCGCCACGACGACGACCACCACAAAGAAGACTGCGACGACCACAAGGGCAGAAACGATCACCACAACGACGGCGATGACCGCCTCGACCACAACGACAATGGTGACCACAAAAACGACGACCACCACAACGACGACGATGACCGCGACGACGACGACCACGACCACCAAAACGACAACTATGACTACGACTACGACCACGACCACGAGCACGCCAACGACGACGGCACACGACGACGACCACGACGTCGACTGCGGTGACGACCACAATGACGACCACGACGATGAGCACGACGACGACCCCGACGACAACCACGATAACGCCGAGGGCGACGACCGACGACGGCCGCGACAACGACCACCATGTCACAATGTCGCCCACGACGAAAAACGGCGACCACGACGACAGCGACACGAAGACGATCACCACGACGATCACCACAAGGACGATCACCATTATATCATGACGATGGCCACAACGACCCCGACGGTCACAGTGACCATGACCCATGACCCCATGACTCATGATTGGTTGATTACTTGTTCGGGAAATGCTGCATTAGTTGATGAATTGTTCGGGCAGTTCTAGATTAGTTGCATTCGTTGCTTTAGTTGCTTGCATTTCTATTACAAGGTGCGTCCGGGCCAATCAGCACGTGAAGGTAGATTCGATCAACATCGCGCCCTACACCCCTCCAGGGGCCGAAACTGACAAGTTGTTCAAGGCGCGTCCAGCCATTGCGACGAGGGGATTCCTCTCCTCCCCTCCTGCTGGACGGAACCACTGCTGGGCCACATCAGCCCTCAGCCCCCCAGCCGTCTTCAACTCTGCACCATTGGCTCGAAGACGCCGCGCAGGCCGGGCGCGGGGGCCCCGCGCTCCCAGAGGCTCGCGTCGTCCAAACATGCTCTCGTCGGCTGCACGCCAGAGCGACTCTGGGCAAGAGCGGCTTCGTGTGCTCGGCTTGCCGGCCGTTGCATGCGATGCCACAATGCGCCCCCTCGGCCCTCGAAAGCCGCGCGTCAGAGGTCACTCCAGCGAAGGGCAACTCTAGCGCGCCGCCGATCTCAGGCTGCTGGAGCAGAGCCGGCGGAAGTGCCCCCAGCGCGCCGCTTCGCCGCCCAGCTGGCCGATCACGTAGCCCGCCGCGGCGAGCGGGGCCAGGGCGGCGCAGCGGTAGGCAGCGCTGCGGCCCCACGCGATCTGCCGCCCGTCCCTCGCGAACATCCACGGGTACTTCTCCAGGAAGGGCCCAGCGTTCTCCAGGAGCGCCTGGGACTCGAGCGGGTAGGCCTCCAGGCCGAAGAAACGGATCCACAGGAAGGCATTCAGGTGAAACCTTGGCACGGCCGAAATGGGTAAGGAAGAAACATCTAGAATGCCCAAGTGAAACCAACGGCGATCGCTGAAGGGCAGGCGACGTTGTGTCTCAAATGGGTTCCGTCCGCGGGGACACCGGCAGCGATTCCAGTTCAAACTGGGCAGGCACTGCTATCGGTCTTCGTCCCCGTTCTTTCCGTATCCATTTCGCTCGAACCGAAAACCCCCAGGCGCCGTAGTAGTCGAACAGCTGGCCGTCGCGGTAGTAGCCGTCCCCCGTGGACCAGCACAGCAGGTGGCGCAGGTGACCTTGCAAGAGGCCGCCGTCCACCTCGCGGCCCTCCTGCGTCAGGAAGGACAACAACAGCACCGCGGAGAACCGCCAGTTATGGCCCCGCGTCTCCCTGGTGCCCAGGGCCTCCAGCAGCACCAGCACCTTTCGGGGGTCCCGAACCAGTGCGGCGACAGGCCGTGCGGAGAGCTCGAAAAAAACCCGACGACCTCACCATATGGTCCGTCACCGCAAGGTTTGGGGACCCTGGAGTCCCCAATCGCCCGAGACGTCATCACCCAAGTCCCAAAACCGTGCGGTCACCCAAGATCCACACTGACTGACTCACAACACGTCACACGGTGTGGTCACCGCACCGTTTGGGGGCCCCCGGACTTTCTCTCTCCCGGCTGGAGGCAGCGGCTCCCAGAGCCAGCGCCTGCCCAGCCACAGCGCGAGCACCAAGATGCCGCCCTCCACCTGTTGCTGCACGGGCCTCTCTTGCTCCACTGGACCAACGTACCGCGCCGACGCGGGGTCGCACGCCTCCACCAGCAGCCGTCGACACCAGTCCGCCATATCGCCCCCGCCGCCCGGCAGCTCCAGCGGCGACTCTAGGAGGATGGGGGCGGCAATGAGCAGGACGCGCGCGAGGCCCTCGAAGCGCTCGGCGCGGGCCTCCTGGGTGGTCGGGAAGCGGCTGCGCGGGTAGAGCACGCTGGCCTGGCGCGGCCACACCAGCGGGCCGGCAGGGTCTTCCAGCGTGCCGAAGGCGTGCAGGAGCACCCTCGACGCCGCGCGCTGCCAGTCCCGCCGCGTCCACTCCGCGTGCTGGCCGCCCTGGCGGCCTACGCCCTGCCGTGCCCCAGCAGTCCACCGGACAAGGCAGCCACAGGCCGCCTCCGCCCGTCGATGGCGCGCCTCCGCGGACGCCCCCGCCGCCGCCGCGCACGCGTGCCGCGGAAGCCCTTGCGCCGCGGCGACAGGCGCCTCGGCGGAATTCGAGGGCTCTTCCGGGCACCACGCGGACCTCTCCGCGGCCTTCCAGCGGCAGACGTCGATGACTCGCACCAGCTCGCGAGCCTCCTGCTCCGACACGAGCGGCGCGGGTGCCAGCGAGAGCTCGCGCGCCTCACCGCTGCGGGTGATGCTCACGACGTCCCAGACGTTCTCGTAGAACATGGCCCCGACAGTGCCCTCGCCCTGCAGCGGGAAGAGCTCCTCCCTCCACGGCAGGGCGCCCTCGTTGTAGTAGTTCCGCCCTGTGGCAGCCAGACCGTTCTGCAGCTCGCATGGCTCCGCAGAGGCGGGGTCGAAGTAGCGCACCCGGAAACATTCTCCTTCGAGGACAGCCGTGCCATGCTTGCCGCAGAGCTGCCAAACACCGCGCTCTTTCCGCGCCAGCTGCTCGCCATCGGGTAGCACCGCCGCGGTGTTGATCTCAGCGTCGAGCAGCACGCCGTCTGCTGTGGTGCACCAGACCTTGACGACGTCGTCTGCGTCACCAGCCGTGGCGATGGACCACAGACTGCAATCGATGGCAGTCAGCTTCGGGAAACCGACAAGAAACAAAAGCTGGTCGATGAAGTGCGATCCGTAGTTGTAGAGCATCCCGCCTCCGTACTTCTGTAGCGCCTGCCAGTCGGTCCGCCTGCGGTACTCGTTGTAGCCGCGGCGCACGGCGAAAAGCGGTCCCAGGAGCCCGCTCTGGAGCACCCGCCTCGCCGTAAGGCACTCCGCCGTCCAGCGCTGGGACTGGTAGACGAACACCTCTCGCCTAGCCCTCCTGGCCGCCGCGAAGATCCTGTCGCAGGCCGCGAGGGAAGTGGTCATGGGCTTCTCGATGACCACATGGCAGCCGTGCTCCAGGCTCCGCACTGCCTGCAGCTCGTGTAGGTGCGTGGGCGTCGCAATGACCACCAGCTCAGGCTTCTCGTCTGCGGGCAGGGACCAGAGCTCGTCCAGCTCCGCGTGGGCCGCGACGCCGGGCAGCAGCGCGCGGGCCTCCTGCCTGCGGCCCGGCTCCCTGTCGACCACGGCGACCACCTGGAAGTCGGCAGAGCGACGGCAGTGCCGCAGGTGAAAGTCGAAGCCGACCCGGCCCAGGCCCACCACCGCCACACGCACCGCCCCAGAGGCAGCGGCGCAGCGAGCGCCTGCGTCCGCGCAGCCCTGCTGCAGAGCGAAGGCGCTGGGCGTAGCGAAGCGGCACCCCTGCCGGACGAGGTAATCCAGCACCTGCTCGAAGGCAGCCAGCCCTGCCTCGTCCCAGCTGGCCGGGTGCCCCTGCAGGCACAGGTAGGGCATCGGGGCACGCCGCTCGAAGCTGGCGGCGAGGCGCTCGGCGTTGGGACAATGCGTGGGGTGTTCCAGGTTGCACTCGGTCCGCACGAGCACCAGGCCGCTGAAGCCGTGCAGGGCGGCAAGCTGGCGGCTGCCGTAGAGCCAGACGCGGCAGTCTGGGTCCTCCGCCAGCACGCGGGCCGTGTCTGCATTCTGCTTGTTGGAGGGGGCCCCAAAGGCGCACAACGGGAATCCCAGGACGTCTCTCGCTAGGCGCTGCGTCCTGCTGAACGACTCTCGCTGGCTGGCAGCGTCGCCCTGAAACTCGGGCGTCGCGCTGGCGGCGGCGGCAGCCCCGCCGTAGCCCTGGTTCCAGAACTCGAACGTGCCAGAGTCGTGCAGCTCGCGGCACCAGTCCACAAACGGCCCTGAGGCGGTCTCCAGATCGGCGCCGCTGACCCCGATCGAGGCCGACAGGCCCCGCCGCCTCTGGAGGCCTCCCCAATGGGGTCCGAGCTCATGGGGGCGGAGGATCGCGCCGCAGCGCCGATGCATCGCCGATACAGCGGTGGTGGTGGTGCATCGGCGACGTCCGCGTTAAGGGAATCGTGCTCAACACCGAGCCGCATCGCCGATGCATCGGCGAGGCGGCGCCATCCACCGACCCCCATCTACTTCGACTCCATTTGGGCGGCCTGGAACCTCAGGGCGTCAACGGTCCGCTGCCACTCCGAGGGCACGGCCCCGCTCGGCCCCCTGGTTGACATGCCCGAACTGAATAAGTACGACAAAGTGGATACGACTACCAACAGCAGATGTTGTACAAAGCCGACAGGGGCCGCTGTTGGGCAAGCGACATGTCATCTCAAAGTGGACCTCGTCCGCGACGACGCCGATAGCAAGCCCTGTTCAAAATGGGCAAAAACTGCTGCCGTTCTTCGCCCCCATCCCTTCCGTCCCAATTTCGATGGTAATGACCTGGCGCCGCGGCAGCGGTTCAGTTTCAGCAAGACGCAAGGCGGGGGCCGCACAGGTGCCTCGGGCCCGCGTGCGAGAGCCAGAACGCGCGAGCGCGCACCACGCCACAGCGCCCCAGCTAGCGCGAAGCGCGGCCTCGGCCTCGGCCGCACCAGGCCCAGGGCGACGAGCGAGTCCACCTTGGAAGTCGCAGAACGGTGCGGCGACGAACCGTGCGATGACCAAGGCGCTCCCTAAGACCTCACCGCACGGTCCGTCACCGCACGGTTTGGGGACCCTGGATGCCTCAGTCGCCCGAGACGTCCTCGGAAAACGACCCAAGTCCAAAAACCGTGCGGTCACCCCGAATCCGCACTGACTCACCGCAGGGTGTGGTCACCGCGCTGTCTGGGGGCCCCCGACCCACCGTGGCCCTCAGCGTGTCCTCCACGCTGCGGGGCCGGAGCCCGAGCTCCCGCTTCGCCAGGGCGCCGCTGCAGGCGCAGGCGCGGCGGCGACGGCCCTGCGGGACCTCGCCAGCCACGTCGACTCCTGGGAAAAGCCTCCGCAGCTTCGCCTGTCGGCGGCGCGCCCAGGGGGGAAGGCCGAGGAGGCGGGCCTCCTCAGATGGCTCAGAGGGCCTCCCAGCCTTCTGAGAGGCCGTCTGAGCCTCCTTGTCGATGCCACGGGACAGCATCTCAGAAGCCTCTGAGGAACCTTGCCGTCTTCTGAGGAGGCCTGCCTCCCCTGGCTTCCCCCCTCGGCGCGCCGCCGAGCCTGGATCTGGTGCACGTGGAGCGCCCCCTTGCCGTCGGTGCTCGCCAGTACGTAGCGGGAGCCGTTCCTCGCCACCGCGCTTTCCGCGCTGAGCCGCTGAGCCTCCGCGACGTCGCGGCAGTCGACGATATTCCAGAAGGAGCGCGGCTGCGGCGTGCCCTCTCGAGGGGGGACTGGCCCAGGGAGGAGAACAACGATCTGGGATCGGCGATACATCGCCGACAGATCGGCGATGTGCCCACGAAGATGAAGCCGCACGTTCCCGGGCGGGGTGGGGGGCCCAAGCCCCCACTGACGATGAATGGGCGATTGGAGGTCGATGCTGAAGTCCCTGGGCCAGAACCCTACCGCTGCCCATGATCCTGGTTTTCGGGTCATTTCGCCGCCCGAGAGCCCACGATAACGTCTGAGAATATCTAGCTTCGAACCCCCGAAACTTCGCCCCCCCCTCCGGCCCCCTTCACGTCGCTGCCCCTGACCTCTATCATCTGCCCGATGCGGAACTGCCAGGCCTCGTGGTGGCGCCTGCACCGAAGTGGCCCGAGCACCTGCGAGGGGCAATGCGAGACGACGTCAAAGGACTCGTCGTCGGCCGCGACCCTCACGGCGAGCCGCTCGGCGTCGACCTTCGACTTCGCGTAGGGCGCCGCCTCGATGCTCCACCTTGAGGGGGAACGGCAAGTTTGGGACTGGCTCATTGGGGGTAGTAACAAAAAGCCCATCGAGATTACCATTCATCGCCGCGCCACCCGCGCCCTAACTCCCCCAGTTAACCCCACGCTTCGAGCCGGCGCCGTCTGGGGATTAGTCATTCCAAACGGCGCCCGCGTGAATCGTGACGTCACTGCCCCCCCCCCCACCCCCCCAGCCTGGTAACGCCCGTTATCGCCAGGAGATCTGGAATCGGCGATACATAGCGCATAGATCGGCGACAGGTGTCCATAGGAAGCAGCACGCTCCTGAGCAGGGTGGGGGGTCCAAGTCCAGGCCCCGATTGGCGATGCATGGGCGATGGGATGTCGATGCTTCACCCCGTGCAGCACCACCCCTTGTCATTGCCCATGACCTTCCGCTCCCTGGCCCTCGGGCCATAACGCAAGCCTCTGGCGGCCGTTCGGAACGACCCCGGCACACCTTGAACGCTCTCGACGAGGCGCAGCTGATGGAAACCACACCCCACCCTAGACCAGTCCCCCCTGACGCTGCCCCTGAGGCCTTCCTGGCTGAGCGCCGTCGCTCGCCCAGTCCTTCTCCGAGAACTGGTAGCCCTCCTCGGCCGGGTGCAGGATTGCGGCGATGGAGCTGGTGAACACGACCCGCTTGACGCTCCCGCTACGCTTCACGGAGGCGAGCATGTGCCTGGTGCCCTCCACACCTCCGTCGTAGACGCTCCTCGCCGACGCCCCGCTGGAACCCGCCAGCCCGCCCTTGCCGTCGCGCTCCAGCACAGCGGCCGCGTGGAAGACCGCGCAGCAGCCGCGGAATGCGGCATCGTTCGGCTGCGCGCGAGAAGTGGCCTTCCCTGAGATCTGGGCGTGGAGGTTTTGTTCACGCTGGGCGTGCTTGCACAGCTTCGGCCCCCCTTGCTTACCTTCCTCGCGGCGTCGGAAATCAAGGCTCGGCAGGAGCTGTTTGCGTCACCGCAGCAATGCAGTCGCGGCAGCAGGGGCCCCTAAACGGCCCCAGGGCCCAAAGCTCTCCAAACGCTTGGCGACCACCGAACGTCACATGCACCCTAGGGTTCCAGTCCTGAAGACAGAATGTCTGAAGAAGCGCGTTGCCTGCTACTGTGATGATGAGCAAGTCAAGAAGTGAGGACAAAGTAACCTTTGGTGCGCGGCGTTGCCGGCTGTTGTGCGCGCTGCGACACTCGCGGCTCGCATGCTTGGACATGGCCCAGGACCAGTTTTCTCATCCCGAATCGTTTTTTTGACGGGCCTGGTGCCTGGTGACGGTCCCGCGGAAGCCTAAGATTGCAAACAAAAACCGTCGGTCGTGGTTTGTGCGCGACGAGAGGAGGTAGGGGAGAGCCGCACACCCAAAAGCCACTCCAACGGAAGGCCACTCCTGCGTGCAGCCGCATCGTTGGAGGGGGAGAAAACGGGGATCATGACCAAGATTGAACGCAGAAACGTCGGTGTCGATCGCGGGTACCGTTCAACTTGGTCAGCGTCAACTCTTGCATCATCCTGGCGAATCGGCGACTTCCGACATGGACCATAACCAAGATCAGCGTCGACAAGGTCCCGCGACATCTTGGTCATGGTCACACTGCTTCTTCCCTCGAATCGTAAGACCCTGGCACCAGCAGGTCGCAGCCGCAGAGCACTAGGCGGCCCCCAGCGCACGCGGGCTCGGCGGCGAGCTCGTGGAGGTGCCGCACTCGCTCCGCGTCCGCGGCGTCGCGCACGCACGCCCGCACATAGTAGCCGTGCTCCAACAGGTTGCACACGAGCGCCGTGCCTATCGCAGGACCCAAACTCAGACCTCCGACGATATCATGCATTCAATCCCGGCGTTTTCCCCACATGCTAAATGTGGCTATGGTTTTCTCCCGACCCGCATCGCACCCGCGGTCCTTCTCAACCCTCCTCCTCCTTATCGCTCGTGCACTCCTCAGACATACACATGACACGCACACCGCATAGCACATACGCGCGCGTAGGATTCGCATGACGCGGCACGAGTGTTACTTTCTCGACACCACAGGGGGTGCGCAGGAATGATCCCTGAGCGCGGCCCCGCGGGGGGGCGCAGGGAGTTGTCCCTGAGCACGATCGCCATCCGTTTCAGGCCCGCAGGGCGTGGCAGACATTTCACTCTCTCGACACCGCAAGCGGTGCGCGAGAGGTGTTGCGGTCGCTATCCGTGAGACTCTCGCAAGGCGCGGCAGGTGCAGCACGCACAGCGTGGCAAGCGTGGCACTTCCTCGACACCAAGATGGGTGCGCAAGGGGACTGAGCGCGCCCGCCACCCGATTCAGGCTCGCAGGGCGTGGCAGCCATGGCACATTCTCGACGCCACAACGCAAGGAGTCGTTCCTGAGCGCATGACAATTTCTCGATGCTGGACGGGGTGCGCAGGGGATGTCCCCTGAGCGCGGTCTCGATGGGCGCCAGGGTCGCAAAGCGTGGCAGGCCTGGCACGTTCTCAACACCATGGGGGCGCAAAGGGTTGTCCCTGAGCGCGGCCTCTCCCCGTGATACGCTCGCAAGGCGTGACAGGCGTGGCACTTTCTCGACAGCAGAGGGGGCGCGCAGGAGGTTGTCCCTGAGCGCGGTCACTATGCGTGCCATGGTCGCCAGGCATGGAACTTTCTGGACACCACAGGAGGTGCGCAAGGAGGCCTCCGACTGCTGCGCCGACAGCCGCGCCGACCGCGGCATAATCAGGCGAGGTCCCCGACCGCCGCCCCGACGACCGCGCCGACAGCGGCTCTGACGGGGTCTCTAACTGCTGCGCCGACGGCCGCGCCGATACCAGCACCTATTGCTGCGCGGACGGCCGCGTCGATAGTGGCGCGCCGTCAGCATCTCCGTCTGCCGCGCCGCCAGCCGCACCAACGGCGGCATCTTCGAGCTCCGCGCGTGCTGCGCCGACGGCGGCTCCTACGTGGTCTCCAACCGGGCCGCCGTCTGGCGTGCTGACTTGTGCATCGGCTTCGGCACAGACAGTTGCTCAGTCGGCGGCACTAGCAGCCGTGCCCGCATCAGCACCCGCGCCAAACACGCATATGTGCGCGCGGACGGCGGCATCAACGAAGGCTTCGACAGCTTCCTCGGCGAGGCAAATGGCATCGCGGGCAGCCCAGTGCAGCCAATGGCGGCCATTGCAGGCAGCGCCGAGGCATGCGCGAAGTCATCGGCGAGGCGTGCAGGCAAATTCTTGCGGCGACACCGCACTCACCCTGCCTGATGAAGGCCTGCTTTCTCTCGCTCGATTGAGAGAAACCTCATCGGCTGCAGCGGCGTCGACGAATACATCGACTGCTGCGTCGACGGCAGTCTCACCAGTCGTACCCATGGCGGCATCGACATCGGCACCGAGGGGGCTACCGAATGTCGCACCGACAGAAGCACCGATGAAGCCCCCGTCCGCGGCGCCAGAGGTGGCGCTGACGGCGGCACCGACAAGGCCTCCAACTTCTGCGCCAGTGGCCACGCCAGCAAAGGCATCGACGCGGTCTCCGGCAGCTGCGCCGACGGTCGCGCTGACAACAGCGCCAACATGGCCTCCGCTTGCTGCGCCGGTGGCCGCGCCGACGACGGCATCGGCGAGGTCTCTGGCCGCCGCGCCGAACAAACGCCTCCGTCCGCTGCGCCAGCGGCCACGCCGACAGCACGGCTGACGAGGTCTCGGACCGCCGCGCCGACGGTCGTGCCGACAGTGGCACTAACGGAGTCAACGACTGGACCGCGGCCGGCGATGAAGCGCCAAGCGGACGGTCGAGGAGGGGCCGCCGACCCGCCACCACGGCCTGGCGCGCTGAGGTGCCCGCCGCCGGCCCCCGCGGGCCTGGCGAGCGGTGCCCGCCGCTGGCGTATTATCCGCCGGGCGTGCGAGGCGTGCGGATGCTGGCGGCGCCAGAAGGCAGCTGTGGCGCCGGCGCGGAGCACAGGCGCGGGAGGCGTCTGCGGGCAGCTGGGTGCTGACACGACGGGGGGGCGGTAACCCCGCGGGGCCGCGGGGCGGCCTGTCGGAAACTCCACTGCCGCCGAAACCCGTCCTGGACGATCCGCTAACACTTCTGCCGGTTTGCCAGTACGCCGAGGCGCCTGTGGACAGCTGGGCGCCAACTGGGCGTTACCGCCAGCGGCGCCCGCAGGCGCCGACGTGAGGGGGGGGGGCAGTAGCCCCGCGGGCCGGCCCGGCTGGGGAAGGAAGCAGCGAACCCTTAGAGGAGCCAATCCCAGACGATCCGCATGCTCGCCAGCCGTGCTGGCAGGCGCAGACCGAGTTCCAGCGGCGGCGGCGCCTGCTGCTGATGATGATGGATGGAGTGGGCCACATCGTCGAGTGGATGATGATGGAGGCCGAAGGTGCGGTCCACTTGCCTGCGCGGGGGGGAGACACCACAGCGCGGCGCTGATCAACGTCGTTCACCGCTGCAGCCAGCGGTGGCCTTGCTGCGCGCAGGGGGCCTGTGACACTGCTTGCATGAACCACGATGGCCACCTGGACGCGGTGAATGTTTTTCGACGGAAGTGGCGGCGGAGTCTCACTTCACGTGGCGAAAGAGTGGAGCCGTGCGCAGTGGCGCACATCGCATGGCAAAAACGTGAGCGGTGTGAGCCTCGCCATCATTGCAGTCGCATCCCTCCTCGTACCTGGACTTCGGGTAGCATGTAGGTTCAGGGGCCGTTTAGTTAGTGTCGTTACTGCTGTCCGAGACAGCTTAATTGTTTGTGATGACTTACTTTCTCGGGCCCCAGGAATGCGCAGGCTTTTCCTTCTCTCCTTCTTTTGCCTCTGCTTTGCCTCTCTCCTCTCCCCCCTCTGGGGCTCAAGCCTTTTCTGGGTCAAGCTGGCCCACCAGAAACCCTCCTGGGTCATCCCGCCCTGTGCTAGACTGGCTTCCGAAGGCCTCGACACAACGTCGCGGCGGCGGAGGCCCGCTTCACGCGGCGACAAAAGTGGGCCGTCCACAGTGGCCACATCGCATGGCAAAACAACGTGAGCGGAGTGAGCCTCGCCATCATTGAAGTCGCCTCCCTCCTCACTCCTGTATATCCGAGTGAACGTAGGTTCAGGAGCCTTTGCTCGTGCCGTTCCTTCTGTCCGAGACAGCCACACGAGGGTTAACTTTGTAAGTCTGGGGTGGTCCTCAGCAGCCGAAAGCCTAAATCTCGGCCGAAAAAATCGCTCCAGGTAAAGGGTCGGGACTTCTTGGACAGCGGATTGAAACATCAAATCAGAGGACGTCTGGATTCGGCGCGGTCATACCTTTTCGAAGTCCCGCGCAGATTTCTCGGATCGGCGCTGGCCCCCCCTCCCTTGCCCAGCGTCCACCCGAGATGTCCGCGCGGACCCCGAAAGCGTGTGCCTGTGCCGACTCGAAGCCGGGCCCCCGTCGCGACGCCTCTGACGCCGCCCCTGACGCACTCCGCGCGCTAGGGAGGGGGGCCCAGCGCCGACACAAGAAATCCGCGCGGGCCTCCAAGCGCCTGTGTCTGTGCTCACCACTCTCTTGCGCTCTGGGCAGCAGGAGGTCCTTTCCGTCACGAGCCCCTTCCGTCACGAGCCCCTCGCCCTCGAGGCCCCCCTTCGTGGCCGCCTGCCCGCGTCGTCGAGCAAGGCGAGGGGGTCGTCGCAGGAGGGGGTCGGCTAGACAGAGGTCGGTTCCCAAAACTCCGACGTCGTGGTGTTTCACGACGGGGGACCGTAGCCTTTGGCTCAAGCCGCGAGGGGTACCCCCCCACCTCGAGGAGGCATCCGACGCACCGCCTGGGCCGCGCGCCGGCCCCCCCGCGCACGCCCCAGCGGCGCCCCTCGCCTCGCGCCGCCCTCGACTGCCATTCGGCGCGACTCACCGCCTTCGAATGGCTGACGACACCTCGTTGGTCAGGACCCCTGTTGCCCCCCCCCCCCAGCAGCACGCGAGGGTAGCGACTGGGAGCTGGTGGGGCAGCAATTATCTGAGCCCGAGGATGCGGCCGCGCACAGGAGCGAGACGGGACAGGAGGATGGGCAGGAAATCCCGAGGTACAATTTTTTGGGAGCTGGTGGGCCTACGCCCACCTCCGCCGGGGAGTCGAGTGAACTACAGAGCGTGCAAGCCAGAAACGGGGCTGCCGCAGGCACTGCACGTCCCCTTCTGACTGACCATACCTCAACGATCAGCACCCTGAACTCCACCCCCCCCCCTCAGCCGCCAGGGCCAGGCAGCCATGGGGATAGGGAGGGCACGGCGACAAACCCGCACTCGAGGACGAGTGCCCCCCTGGCAAGCGGCCCGCCCTCCGCCTTCAATCCCTCCTCCCCCGCCCACTTGCAATCCGGATATGCGGCTCTGTGTCGCCCTGAACCCACGAGTGACCTGCTATCGAGAGACCCTCTTCGTTCCGACCCCTCCGCTTCACTCTCTCCTGCGACGGTGAGTCACCCTGCTTCCATACCAGACGAGCAGACCTCGCCTGTTCCTTTCCCTGATCACTCCGGCAATGCGACTCTGTGTCGCCCTGAACCCACGGAAAGCTCTGCTTGTTCCTATCCCATCTCCCCCTTCCCCCCCCCCCAGTGCGACAGCGACGTGACCCCTCCCGAAATCGGCCGGAGGGGTACCGAGGAGGTCCCCAGCTATTCAGAGGCTGGCATGAGGAGAGACCTGGACACCATAGCTGGGGGCAACACGCCGCCCTGCAGGTCACGAGGCCACACCAGTCCACAGACAGTCGACGGCTATGACCCCCCAGGACTACCCAGCACGCGGATCGATCAGGCGACCTCTCCCCCTTCCCACCGCG